TCGATGTGATCGGCTGCTGGGTGTTATGTTGAATAAGCATTTTTGGTGCTTTAAGAGTCTAAAGTTGTTTGTTTGCCGCGTAGAAACTACGCTACATGCGCAGTTCTCTTCGCCCAACGCTGAAGTTATAGGAAAGAACATTTTTAAGCTCACTCTTATTGCTAAAATATTTGAGTTTTTGTGATTTGATTTGTGTTTGCATCAAATTACCCAATAATTGCGTAGAATCTGAGAAGGTATGTGCTTGGTTCGGTGTTGTATGTGTGCCTTAAAAGTGATTGAAAAAAAAAATGCGATGTGAACACGTCGCGGTTGCTGTAGTAAGGCAGCAAAGATGGATTTATCTTTGAGCATTGACACCAAAGCAGCGATATTTACCAGTTTTTTTTCTCGACAGTGGCGCCCCACGTCGACATTCTCTTAGTTTCAGGCCTCAACAACTGCAGAAAGATGCGCTGGCAAGATATCTTAAGTTGTGATGCTGTAATTCCTTGCATCATCTCACCTATCGTCCATTTTATAAAACAATTCGACATACTTAAATGTCATCTATGGGTGGCGTCGTTCAAGAAGGAGTCACACGTTAATTGTCTTTTTGGCCACGGCTGAGTTTGCATAATCAAAACTGTTCGTTCATATTTGAATGGGGCCCATCCAATTCAGCAATGTGTTTCAGGTGCTCGCATCACTTTCGCCAATTTACCATCACAGGCATCGCTGACATTATGTACGTCAGTCGACAATCTAGGAAAATATTGCATCAAAGTTTTTAAGAATAAAATACCGAATTTACAATAGTGGTTCTTGCACTTACACCGAACAGCTACACATACGCCCAACGTTCGCCCCGCAATTTCGCTCTCATTACCGTGTTCTATGTCAGAAAGCATATAAAAGACAATTCAAATACGCTGCCAAAACTAGGGTTTTAAACTTGTTCATTTTAACTAAATTTAAAGTGTGAGGGTGTTAGAGTGGTCGTTGACGGAGCGATCTCTGTCCACATCGAAGTACGAGAAACTATCGTCAGAGTGAGCGCTGAGAAACGACTGATTAGACGACAGATTGGACGACTGATTTGAGGAGCGTCGCTTTGATGAGCCATCGTCACTGCCGCCTTCATTATGCTGACCCTTTGCGTTAAAATTTAATCGAGATGTCGTGAAATTGGATTTCGACTGGTAACAGTACGAATCTACTGAGTCACGCGAGAATGCTGATTTAGTTACACCAAAAGGCCCAAGTTCGTAGCTCTGTCCCTCGAGTGCTTCGCTCTCTCTGTCGTCCGTACTAGTAGCGGCCCCTGAATGATGTTTAATCCAGCTATTGTGGTCACCATCAAAGCTACCCTCTGAATCGTTCGAGAAGATCGACATCTTGGCTTGAGGACTACTACCAAAACCACCACTTTTAGCCAAGTGAGCAGCATCGATGACAGTTGAGAACGTGTTGTCTGGTTGTTTGATGGTACTTTGCCTACTCACAGATACTGTCGAGTCTGAGAAGTTGACGTAAGATTGCATCATGGCAAATGAACTGGATGTTGAAGCACCTGATGCACTAGGATCAAACGATTGACTCGAAGATGAAAGTTCGAAAGTCTCAGCTGTATCGTCATCGATATCCACATCATCAATAGACACATCCTGATAGAGATTGACAATGTGTTGCCTTCGCGACGAGGAGGATTTGGCTCCTGAATTTGAGAAATTCTCAACATACGCGTCAAGTGCAGCCGAAGAAGAACGTGAGCCAAAGCCAGATCCAGACATCGTAGCTGTTCCTCGTGAAGATTTGAGACCTCTTGACGATGATAAGTCTCTTCTTGATGACGTTAGATTTTGTGATGATGCCAAACCTCTGGACAAGGACAGACCACGTGAAGTTGCCGAAGTTCTTGACAAGTTCAGTCCGCCAGGAGAAGTGAGCTCTTTTGTGATAATGTGGTTATTTCTAAATGTGTGACCATTTGCTGCGCTTAACGACGTTGCGGAGAATGCAGCCTCGTCTTGCATCGAACTTGTCCCGAGGTAGGCGGCCAGCACATCGTATGTTGGTACTTCTGGAGCAGGTGCAGCAGGAGCAGGCGTAGTATTATGAGATAGCGGTGGACAATTTTTGCCTCGAGAGCGACTGAAGATCGGAACAGGCTCCGACGCTGGCTCTAACATAGGCACGTTCTCTAATTGCCCATTATTAGAGCTCTGAGTACTGTATCCGGACATCGTGCTGGAATGCGCTCCATACTGATGCTGGTGGCTTTGCGATTGTTGATTTTGATCAAATTGTTTGTTTCCATACCAATCCCCGCCTCTACGTAATGGTGTTGACTCCACCAATTCAAAGGAAGGAACAGGAGAGGAACTGTTGCCGAAATCAGTGTTAGTTCCAGTCGCATCCAAGTTGGAGTCGCGCTTACCATACTTCTTGTGACGACAAGCAATTATTGTCGCGTGGACAATCATATACGCCTGACGTATAAACAACAACGCGAAGATGAATATGTTGATTCCAATGATGCCATAAGCCACGTTATCGCGCAGATTTTGAGGAAAGTAGTCGTCTCTTGCAATCAAAAGCATGAGACCAATAAGAACCACTTTTAAAAATACCGACGTGATCCCCACGTAGTATAAGAACGGCAGCAAATTCGGCTGGCGCAGAAGGAGCAAGATTAAATACAACATCATAACAGCAAGAATGCACAATAACTGCGACGTGGCATCACGGACGATACCAACAATGGCACCAGTCCCGACTGCGAGTAAGATGCGCGGCACAAAAAAAAAACGGTTGTCGAAGTTGTACTGATCATAGTACGCACTGTATTTGCTGCTAAATGGCCGCTGATTGTGTTCGTAAGTTCCAACATCCTTCAATTCGTCTGGATTTTTTCCAATAACAGTGACACCAAGTCCGAGGGTTAAAAGTACAATTACGACAAGAGCAACGATCCCCAAAGTAAAGCGGGACGTAACGCCTTTGGCTGAATCTCCTGAAGCATCGTTTGATATGAGATAGCATCCAGCCATCGCAAAACTGTATTGTGCCAGCAACAGAGCCAACACAACAGCCCAAATCACTTTACGATACCATTTGCGTGCCATGTCACTAATGGTATTGCTCTTGAGAATGGAGCCAGCAATTAGAATAAACAGTACATAAAGCACATGCAGTGCTGCAATCACAGCAACGAACGTCAAAAGCGTGTAGAAGAAGAGATTGTTGGCATCTACACCAATGAGAGCAGCATATCTCGCCGGTCCGGTCTCTCCAGCCATAGACACAGCATCTGCCGCATGGGAAATGGAATCTGATAGCCTTCGAAGCTGACTCCGCCTTCCAGTACTGTTGGAATCGCTGCTGCCTCCTCTGATAAAATTGAAATTGGTCCACGACAGTTCCTTGGAGAATTGAATGAGAAACGTTGGAGCGCCTTCAATTCTTAATTGGCTGATCATACCTGCAAACTGGGCTTGCTCGACAATGTGCGTCATTTCGTAGAATCCCGAGGAGAAACTGAGCGCCGCGGCGGCAGTAGGCACTGTCGAGGCCCAGAGCATTGAACTTGTACCGATCACGGCTGCACCAGCCAAAGATGTCGCAATGACGCCTGAAGCCGTACTGCCAGCTTTCGAGTCGAGAAAATGTCGCGGGCCTGTGGTATTGGTTGGCCACTGCGTGTTGCTACCTAACACGCAGCCAGTGCAGTTATTAGCTGCGATGTAGCTAGCGTTGAGGTTGCCAATGTCAACGTCAGACGTTAGATTGAGCGCTTGGCGGATCTGATCCTCACCCCACGGAATCGCATACGTATAGAAAAAGAAGCCAAGAAGAACCAGGATGGCTAGAGGCAATAGTAGTGCACAGAGCTGCGAGAGCGCTATGCAGCCGCAGCACTTAGCAGCGCAGCACAGTAGCCCCATAGTATTAAATTATTAATTGCTGTCTGTACGAGATGGATGTACTGCTCGTGGTGCTAAAGCGAAGTTCGCTTCTGTGCGTAAAAATTTGGAAGGAACTGGGTTTGACGTTGTTTGATAGGCACCACTATTGACTTGCCATTTGGAGGCGTTGAACGAAAGCAGGGGTAGCACACAGCTTTGGATGGGAACGTTGTACAAGACCGTGGCAACTTGTAGAGTTCAGTAGCTCATGCATCAGTTTTGAAAGGGAAAAAGGGTATTAGACCAATCGACGAATGCAAAAGCTATTGATAGGCTCTTCTCTCCGGTCTTAGCTAACGTGTGTAAGACGGGCACCAACTTGAGACGTGCGCGGGGACACATTGAGCTGCACCCGGCATCTGTCGATAGTGTCAATCAATATCGACAACAGATGAAGAACTTTCCATTGAATTGGTCTAAGGTCAGGGAACTTGTTGCAATCTCTATTTCTTCAAAATAATATCTTCAGGTCTTGTAACGCTATTGCTGATGCTCGGTGATGATACTGTAGTCCATGACATGTATCAAAATAAACATCACTAAATATTATCTATCCACACACACCCTCAAAAGCGCCCACGGTACCTGGTGCACAGTTGTTTATTTTGATCAGCAAGATCCGAGAAGTCAATGCTGATAAATCGCAATTTCGAGTGGCGCGAAGTATACCGCCGATTGTCGAGGGTCGCCACGCAATCGCCTTAAGGAATTAAAACATGAACAGCACGTCGTCCTCACATCGATGCGCAGACAACACTTGCCAATAAACATTTCTACGTGTTTACAATAAAAAAAGTTGATGGCACAATCAATTTTAATCAAGCCATATTCTAGAGTGGCCCCATTCCACCGCTATTCCGTTTGACCATCTGAACGGTACGGGCGTCCCAACTCCGTGAATGAGGATTTAACCATATTGCAAGATACCCGAGCAAAGGTGAACAGACCGAAGTAGCAGCGACAAGTTTTGGCGTCTCCGAATGAGTGCGGTTACGCATAAGAGGTAGTTATAGGAAGGAAGACTCTTTTTCACGACAGGCTAGTCGAGGATACTTCATTGCACGAGCAACGGTCGCGCCGCTTCCGTATCAAATACGAAAGTGTAATGTCCACGCTTCCCGTCATTAAAGATGGTGTAAGTTTTGGCATCCTATGTAAATCAAAGTACCTTGGGATGTACAGTGTAAATTTCGCGTCATGGTTGATGCATCAATTCGATTTTAGTCACCGGTTTTTGCGATGCATTACGTTAAAAAAAGGGTGAGTCATTGGTGATACAACTAAAATTTAACACAGCATTTCTGTCGACTTGTCTGCACATCCGTTTCACCGTTGCGTGTGGAAGTCTTACAGCTTTTAATCATCCGATCAGCATAGGGAACAATTGGTGGCACCGCGTTTGGGGGGAACATGGTTCTTTAACCGCGTAATGAGGTGTGAGTGCTATTATCTGGTTGTGAATAGGTGCGTGATAAAACACTGTTGCTGAGCATCTCGTACACATAAGCTTTGACTGGCTCTTCTTAGAAGATGTTATCTTAGTTATGATGTGAATTTGCAACTCATTTTGAGACGCATTTCGGTAGCAAAACATAGCTCTATTCTATCTGACGTGATTAAAAACGTTTATCGAGTGCGTGATGTGGCATCACTGAGGAATCGCCGACTTGCTTCTGTAGCAGTGCAACGGAAGCCCAACCAGTTCATATCTATAATAGTGGGCATTTACGAAGAGCACGGCTTAGACCTGGTAAATGCAATTTTTTGCGACCTCACAAATGCTAACCAGGAGAGTAGAATGACAGTAAGTAAGGTCTTTTGTGATTAATGCCTATTCATGAGCTAATCACAATCTGTCAAGCTTCTTTCTTTATCGGGCGTTGGTATAACATGTTGATTATTGGTAGATCTGATAGTTAAACGGGATGAGATCGTAGACTTGGATGGGGCGCGCAAGTTATGAGGCACACATGCATGTCATATGACACACATGACAATTAAATGGTCAACATTTGTAATTTTATAAAGGAAAGCTTAAGGTGACTTACTGAGACATCTTTGCAAGCGCGTAGTCACGGCGATCCCATACGCTAGTTGGCACTTGTGATCCTACGCAACTAGTGTAGACAATTGGTTCTGGGCTTGAGTCTTTCTCAAGGTTGGCTATTATCGTTATCAGTGGCGCCTTGCGGAAGATAATGACTGGTCATATAGCCAAACAAGGCAAGCGGATCGAGGGTATTGTCATATCAAACACTATTGACATCGTAAGGCAGGGCGCAAATCATGCAACTCAGGCTGAAGCAAAGATGCACATCCTTAGAAAAATTCTGGGGCCGTGGGCCGGAGATTGCCGTGAACGACTTTTGTATCATGTCGCTATTTTTGGGAGAGATAATGCTTGAGTGATTTACGTGTTAGACCCAGTAGCTTTGCTTTTGCCTATTGTCAATATTTTTGTAGTAGCTACTCCTTTCCATAGCCTGAAACTTCATCGAAGTTCTCGTAGACAAAGTTAGATGTGTATGACAGACATCTTAGCTTTTGGTAGTATGTTTTTTTCCACAATCCCGTAAACCTGTTTCTGCTCTAAAGGTTAATAAATCTACTGATATCGCTTCACAAAAATCTTGACCAAAAAATATTGTTATTGACAAATTTAGTCATTGCTTAATTTCCTAATTTTTCTAAGCTCTAATACGAACAAAATTTCATCTCGTTGCACGATCATTCACTACAGACGCAGATGAATTCATCCCGCCACGGATCTGTGGATTCTTCCACTGCCGATTTTCAGGCTGCGCACAAGTCTGCTCCATTCGCTAGCAAGCATCCCAAGGGATTTGGCGAAATGGTGCTGATCGATGGCATCAGCATCGAGAAGACGTACCTATTACCTGTGCCCAATCTCCGAGAGTGGCTGCCAGATAAAGACAGCCAGCTCTGCAACCGCCGCAAGCTTGACACTCAGTCCGAGGGATCAGTGGAGAGAAAAAGTACGTACAACAAAATTATGGGTGAATCTGACGTGATTTTAGGCGATATTCGTCGCAACGACTCACAGCAGGCCGTTTCACGCGCCTATGTGCGTGCTGGTCCGCGCGAGAACACATATTTTGACCCTTCAAAGGTGAAGGCTGCAGTCGTGACGTGTGGCGGTCTATGCCCCGGCCTTAACAATGTCGTGCGAGATGTCACTCTCGCTTTGTGGAACCTTTATGGCGTGCGCGAAATTTATGGGATTCGCATGGGTTTTGCCGGCTTTTCAAACTGGACGTCAATGGACCAGAAAGAGGCCCCCATTATGCTGACCCCAAAGAGCGTGGCAAGCATTCACCACTATGGTGGCACTATTCTGGGTTCTAATCGTGGCGGATTCGATCAGGACAAGATCATTAACTTCTTGACTACACATGGCGTTTCGCAATTGTATGTAATTGGTGGTGACGGTACCCATCGTGCGGCTAACAAGATATCAGATGAATGCCGTCGCCGCAAACTGGCGGTTGCTGTTGCAGGTGTGCCCAAGACCATCGATAATGATGTAGACCTCCTAGACCGCAGCTTTGGTTTCAACACGGCGGTCGAGGAGGCTCAACGTGCTATTCGATCAGCCAGCACAGAGGCTCGTTGTGTGCCCAATGGTATTGGTGTTGTTAAGCTTATGGGCCGCAGTGCTGGCTTTATCGCGGCACACGCTTCGCTTTCCAGCGGTGATGTAAATTTGTGTCTGATTCCAGAGATTCCTATCGAGTTGGAGGGACCTCGAAGCTGTTTAGACCATCTTGAACGTGTTGTTGAGGATCAGGGTCACGGTGTGGTTGTTGTTGCAGAAGGCGCTGGCGAAGAGTTGCTTGGAACATCAGTAGAGGCCGATGCTGGCGGCAATAAGAAATTACCACCTGTTGGTGCATTCATGAAGGACCGTATCCAGGAACACTTTGCCAAAAAAGGCAAGGTTTGTACTGTCAAGTACATTGATCCCTCGTACATGATCCGTTCGGTACCCGCGAACGCCGCTGACAGTCTGTACTGCATGTTGTTGGGCCAAAACGCCGTACACGGTGCCATGGCGGGTTATACTGGCTTCACAGTCGGCCTCAGCGCGAATCGTGTTGTGTATTTTCCCATTGAAGCTGTCACGCGCAACTCACCGCGTTGCATGGACCCTTTCGGCCGCACTTGGGAACGGGTGCTGTGTTTAACGCGTCAGCCCAACACTGCCCGTGCGGGCAACATTACGGGTGCTAAGTCCTCCGACTGATCCAGTTACTGAATGAGAAAGAGAGACTAAATTCTGATAGTAGTGCTTGAAAATATATGCAATGAAATTATGGTTTTCAGAATGCTTTTTCGATTTTAAGACAGCATAGCAAAGCATGCCTGGTCTTTTCATTGTTATTATGTAGTTGTGTGGTCCACTAATATCAGAGCGTTTGCAACGCTGCAAAAAGAACTTGTTAAGGCTTTCTCTCAGAATCAGCATCTTCAACTATAGGACAGATGCATTGCCCACGTCACCTTATCGTCTTTTTTTTTCTAGAGACTTAGGAGCTTAATGATTGTTACACCCGGTGGCGTGGGTCGAGTGGTCAATGCTTCTAAACCTAACGTTGTGTGCCGCGGGTTCGAGCCCCTCAGCGGACAAAATCTTAATCGTACCAGAGTCGGCTACATGCAAAATATTACCGACAACAGCCAATTAGGACTTCGGGATGACGACTCGTACAAAAATTAAAATCAAGAAAATAATACCCCAGCGGAAATGAAGCAATGTGAGGTATAACCGTGTACAATAAACTCCCGCTTAAATACGCCAATTGATCCGGTACGGTTTGTGCGCACTTAACTGGTAGG